TCTACAGGGGTATGTTTACTTGTGTAGCTCCAGCGATGATACCAGCGATGCACTACGGCCGGGCCATCAACCAGCACTACAGCACGCTCGCGGACAGACATGAGGCCCGACGACAGCAACCACACACACACACACACACACACACCTACCCAAACTCCCTCTACGGCAAAAAACAATAAAAGAAAGAAAAAAAAGAAGACAAAAAAGAAAAAACAAAAAAAAAAAAAAAATGTGCTCAAAGATGTAAGACGTTGAACGCATTGCAAGAGCACCGCAATCTCGTATTCGTCTCCATCTGCCATCGGGTTCGCCCTTCCAACAGACAGCCTACTTTTCGCTCCACAGAGAAGAAACGACAAATCCACTACACGTTTTATTGGCGTGCCATCGCCTCCAGGCCGACGGAAGAAGGCGGATAGAGTCCACGCGCGCAAAACTGCTTTAGACGATCCACCATCTCCTGTGAAAGGCCTGCTCGTTCCACAAGAAAAGCCGCAACCTGCAGCTGCCGTTCGCGCACACTTACATTGGCTTCTTGTGGCATAGAATAAAAAAAAGATGCGCATAACGGTGCCATCGACAGCATGATGTTTTTTCGCACCAATCCGTCACCAATAAAACACCACAAATTCTCTCGAGAAACATCATCGGCATCCCCGCAAAATTGCCACGCAGCATGCAAGAGTAAAGAACTAAAAAATGAGTCCGGGACATGTGGAGACTGTACGAAGATGTCCATGAGGCCTAGGGCCCTGGGACGAAGGGCGGCGACGCCCAAAGCGCGCACAATCTCGTCTTCTATGGGCACAGCCGGATATATACCACGCCATCCAGCAGCAGTGGTGCTTGCGCCTCCAAGAATTTCGTAGATGGCGTCTCGAGCACTATCGTTGCACTGCGCCAATGAAAGAGCAACTTTCACTCCCCATAAAGACGCGTACCTTTCGGCGTTCAGTTCATGATTTCGGAGTGCCGAGGCACATGCGCGGCATACAAAACAAAACACAAACTCATCTTCATATTCCGTGAGTGCCCTCTCAATTTTTTCAAGCAGCGGCGACGGCATCTCCACGTAACGAGAAATGATACAGCTGATCATTAGATAGTTGGCCACAAGAAGGGGGTCGTGCTCAAAGGCGAATACCGTTGATGAGGTGATGAATGAAATCAAATCCGTGTAGCTGAGCAGGAACCGACACACCATTTCATTTTCTGCGGACTCGGGCCTGTTCTCATCAAACAGTCGTAGAACCCGCTCGTTCTTTAAAGAGGCTGACAAAAACTCTCCTACAGGTGGCGCTAAATCAGATGGAAGCAAAGCCATCACACCAATCAAGGCCGGGCGCACAGTTGCCGCCCTGGAGAGATCCTCGTGAGCCACGCCGTTCACAAGAAAACGGGTGACAATGTGAGATGTGTCCAACCGGAGAAAATTCTCCGCGGCTGCTCGACCGGTACCCGTGTCGAAAAGCCGCTTCAGGCCATCGCCGAGAGCAGCGTAAACTTCAGGGCTCCCAACGGCCTCTGCCTCGCGAAGAAGCGTCTCCGCCGTCTCCTGTTCACCCTGACGCCATATGCGGAGAAGATTTTCGGGCGCCATAAACCGATCCAACTCCAGGCGCGCCTCCCTTGACCCCCTAAAATCCGAATCCGAGAGACTAAAAGCCAGATGGCGTAAGTGATCCATTTATGTTACCCCTATTTTTATTTTTCTTTCCCTCTTTTTTTACTGCAAGAACCGACCGTGCAACCGGCAACCGACAAAAGAAAAATTGAATCAACTCAACACACAGAGCATCCCCTCGTGTGAGAAAACAACAAGGGACGTCATTACACGCCGCTCCTTTTCATTCTTTGGATGGTGCAGCATGCGGCAAGAAAAAAAAAAAAAAAAAAAACTTTTTTATTCCCCTGAAAAGAAAAGGGGACGGTGTACATAAAGGCCGTGTGAATTCCACGTGTGCCAGTTTTTGCCTCAGCCCGAAAGGCAAATAATAAAAAAGACAAAAAAAAAATAACAAAAAAAGGTAACGGGAAAACTCAACGAACAAAATAATATATAATACAAGTGACTACTCCGGAAATTTACTCAACCCGCTCTCGACGTCGACAGAATGGACGGTGCAAATAAGACCGCAGGCGCTGACAAGGGCTACTGCAGTACCACTCCCGCTGACACTGTGGGCAGGGCCGGCAGAGTGTCAGCTTGAAACAGTAATCGCACATCTTTTCTGCCCCAACATTTTCGTCGTTCCCGCACCCAGTCTTCCATTGACCGCTCTCTTGCGCCTCTGGTGGAGGCGACAAGACCTCACCGGCCCTCCGTAACAGACCAAACTTTAATTTCTCAATGTCCTCTTCGCACTTTTTTACTCGCATGAACAGCTCTCGTTGCTGTTCCAGACAACTCTGTAAAGAAGCCACAACGCCAATTGTGACGTCTCTCTCAGGCACCAATGAGGAGGAACTGGTGCAACGACTGGACAAAGAAGTGGAAGACATGCCACTTCTATCCCACCACCTTCCTGACGCTGAGCAAAAATATAGGGTGAAAAGAGAAAAAAAAAAAAAAAAGAGCAAACCCACAAAAATTCTGGCAAAAAACACCACAGCATACTGCAAGCTTAGCAGTCAGAAGAATCGTTTATTTATAATAATAAAATTAGTCACGCGCAAAAAAACCCGCCAAAGCTAAAAAAAAAAAAAAAATAATAATAACAATAATAAAAAATATACTTACACTCATGTATACACTTGTGTATCTTTTTCTTCTTCCTTTTTCTTTTTTTTTCATTCATTTTTTTTCTTTCTTACGATAAACTTCCCGTTTGTGAAAACGAGGGAAAACGGTACTACTGAAGCCAAATAAGGCTTTCGCTTCCTGATCGCATTGCGCACACCTCTGGAAAATTCTCTTATTGCATTTCCTCAGCACAACATCGAAGCTCCAAGAAGGAATCCATGGCTAGACGCAGCTGTTCTTCCACGGCACAGCAGTAACGTGCAGCCCCTGCTAACTTTTCATCCTTGGCAACGATATCCTGACGCAGGAGTTCACAGGCTGATGCCTGCTGCGCCAATTCTTCCCGCAGGACGCCATTCTCCTCCTCCAGGCAGTTAAGCTTCGTCTTGGTTGAATTCAACTCCTTCGCGGCGCAACATAGTGACTCACATAAAAAGTCTTTTCTAGCTCTCATGGCCGATAGTTCCACATGCTGTCGAGCAATGGTCGTGGCCAGCATCGGCGACAGCACGACGGCCCCGCCTCTTTCGTCTAATCGAGGCGGCTGTGACCACAGAGAAAAGGATAGGAGCTCCAAAAAACGGTCCATATAATTCACCATAAGCTCCATATGGACCGCCAGCGTTTCGTTAACCATTCGGAAAATTGCGTCCGCTTCAAGTGAAACTATCAAATTTTGTGAGCGGGCTTCGTCAGCAGCCGTGCTGCTCTGATTCCTGCGAACATCAATCGCACGGATTTCTTTCATAGAATACTCCGTGTCAGTGATGGGATCAGGTTCCCCAAAATGAGCGGAGATAGAAGCGATACCCTCTCTCAGCGCTGGTTCTTGCCCCACCGCCGCGTTCAATGTGAGGCTACTCGTGCACACCTCTTGCCCATCAACTTGAACGACTACCGCCGTTTTTCTTCGGAAAATTCCGAACTCCTCTGAGACGATCTGTAGGAATTCAAGACGGCACACCGTGTCTACATCGACGTTTAATAAAACAATGACGGAAGTGGCAGACTCCAAAAAAGGACTAAAAAACATTAAGGTGTTCCCCTCACGTGAAATGACCTCTACCGGCCACCAGAGAGAAGTTGTGACATCAAACAACCTGGCATAAATGGCGTCTCTTGTCACCAAAACCCCCTCCGGCAGCAACACCGACACGGAGGTAAAGTGCCCTTGGACGGCATCCACCCACCGAATCTCTGGATTCGTATAAGAAGAAAAACACCTCACCGTTTGAAAGAGATCAAACTCACTCAACAATTCACGGCCGGAACGCCACTCACCCTTTAGAGTGCAAATAGCGCTGTCTCCAGTGGTTCCTTCGTCTCCTCCGGCACTGCCGCTGGGCCTTACAATATAAAACAAAGCTTCATTCTCAAGAACAGAAACAGCCATTAAAAGTCCAAAAGTATCACCAAAGTCCGAGTTTTTTTTCGTAACCAATACGCAACTTTTTGGACTCATTTTTAAAAACGCAATCATTTCATTTAGAGAAACTGGAGTGCATGGTGTTTGTGTCCCCACATCGCCGCCACAACCGGCCGCAATAAAATCGCCAACCGACATAGTATGATCCATGTCCAAATCCAAAAGGACAGCAGCCAATGCTGCACACCACCACAAGGGATCGGCAGCATCACTGTAGGCTCTGACGATATCTGTGACTGCGTCCAAGTGAATCAGCGCTTGTCGCCGCCATTGCCACCACCCTTGTACGTTAACGCCCACAAACACAAAATCAGCGGTGGGGATATCTAATTTAACATTCTCAACCCACTGTCCAATAAAATAAATCGCAAGTGCAAGGCATTCTGCTCCGTGGATAAAATGAACAGAAATGGGGGTTAAAAGCCCATACACATATTTCACTGGAAACGCCTTGGCATTTAAAAATGCGGATGTCTGACCCATCGCTTTGGCAAAATATATCGAACGCATAGGCAAATTAAAATCCTTTTTCCAAGAATTCTGTGTCGTCCGCTCCCTGGGAGGGTCATGGGGACGCAATGCATCCGTTTGCACGGCCACCTCCTCCAATTCCCTCACTGTTTGCGTCGTCCGCTCCCTGGGAGGGCCATGGGGACGCAATGCATCCGTTTGCACGGCCACCTCCTCCAATTCCCTCACTGTTTGCGTCGTCCGCTCCCTGGGAGGGTCATGGGGACGCAATGCATCCGTTTGCACGGCCACCTCCTCCAATTCCCTCACTGTTTGCGTCGTCCGCTCCCTGGGAGGGCCATGGGGACGCAATGCATCCGTTTGCACGGCCACCTCCTCCAATTCCCTCACTGTTTGCGTCGTCCGCTCCCTGGGAGGGTCATGGGGACGCAATGCATCCGTTTGCACGGCCACCTCCTCCAATTCCCTCACTGTTTGCGTCGTCCGCTCCCTGGGAGGGTCATGGGGACGCAATGCATCCGTTTGCACGGCCACCTCCTCCAATTCCCTCACTGTTTGCGTCGTCCGCTCCCTGGGAGGGTCATGGGGACGCAATGCATCCGTTTGCACGGCCATTTCGCTTTTAAGCAATGTGTCGGTTAAGGAAGCCGTTAAATTCATTTCCTTCCCATCAAGAGTTTTCGCTTCACGCATCTGTGCCAATTCCTCCATCAAACGACTGCGCTCGGCCAGGAGTTGCCGCATCAGGTGCTCCATCTTAGTCCCCTTCTCAGAAAGATCCTTCACTGCAGCCTTGTGCACCCGCTCCATTTCAGACAACTCTTTAGTCAGTCGGTCATTCTCTCGCTGCAGATGGGCCATACGCTCGGTGTCATTCCTGTTGTGGAGTGCAGCAATTCCCTCCAGGACCCTTTCAACACGACTCGCAGTCCACGCCATGTTTCCCCCGTCTCTCATATAGCTTGACTCGGGCGGTGATGAGGAGACACAAGTCCGCCACACACCATCAAGAGCTAAATTGAAAAAAAAAAAAAAAAAGTGACTCGTTGAATGTAGTCCACCGATGAGCAAAAAGGCGCAATTTCCACACGACACAACGTGAAAGAAATTAACACCCAAATGTAAACTAAAAAAAAAAACTGTTGGCGCCTCAAAAAGGAAAAAATATAAAACAAAACAAACCATCAAAAAGCAAAATAAAAGAAAGAAAGAAATAAATATACTGCTGAATTCCCCGTCTGACCGGAAGCTTAAATTTTAGCTTCCAGCATCTAGGCCAGAGACTACTGGTTCCCTTCATTAGTTGCCTGATTTCAAATCAACTTCGTCGTGTACAAAGTCCATAGATGATGAACATATAGACGAACGCAATCCACCAAAAACGACGGAAATATATTATACACGCGGCATATCACACAAGTAAACTTACAGAGGTATATTCACTAACGTGGAAATGCTCCATTTATGTAATTTCCTTAGGATCATCACGTTACTCTCGATAACAACGGAGCCTGTATGAAGCCCAACCTCAACGTGATACCAAACGGATAAATCCCTTTTCGACAAACATCGAAGCACAACTGCCATTTTCTCCTTTTTTTTTTCTTTTTCAGCGCGTTTGCTAATATCTGTTCTTTGAAGCCCCCGTAATAACGGGCAAAGTGGAGGGTAATTAGAACGGCTTTCGGCCCATAAACGCGATCACATTTTGCGCCTCTTCACGTACTCTCACCAATTCCTTTAAACCCCTACGTATGGTGCAGAATAGCGAGGCCAGCCGTGCAACCATAACCCATGTCTGCGTTGATGCCTGTGCAAAACTTTACTCATGTGAGCATTCTCTCTTTTTCTTCTTCCATGTCCTTAAAGTCAAATGCAGCAACAAAAATAAAATAAAAAAGACACATGTATATGTAAATTCAATATTCACCGTGAAACAGCAGAATTCTTTTTTTCTCCTTCGTTCAACCTTTTCACCCGTAACGCCTTAGTATGTACTCGCAGAGAAGGGAATCTTTACGGGAGCTTTATGTATGCATATAAGTATACATACACATGTATGCGTGTGAATGTGAATGTGAATGTGAATGTGTGTGTGTGTGTGTGTGTGTTTGTGTTGGGTGACGATAACTAATGGAGCGACGAGTATCTTTATGTTCCATCAGCGCCGTATGATTCTCTTTCTCTGCCCAAAACAAAACCGAAGCGGCAGTCCGGCCATGTTGCGTCTACCGTGCGCTTCTGGAAAAATTCCGTATATGATATGCTCCACTTTAGATGCGGATATTGAAATGAAATATATAGGGATGTGCAGAGGGGGGCACATAAATGAATGATCCCCATCATTATTATCCCATAAACGGAGAGAGGCAGAAATACCACATCTCTTCTCTCGTTTATTTGATTTGGTCTTGCAGTAACACAATGGCTGTTCACGATGGGGACCAGGACAAAATCATAAATGAGGCGCATCCACCTCTTCTTCTCATTGCCTCCACAATGTAACAAAACCGCGTCACGTGGACACACACACACACACACGAAAAAAAAAATAAATAATAAATAAATAATAAATAAATAATAAATAAATAAATAAGAATAAAATAAATACAACAACAACAGAAAAAAGCAAAAAGTTCCTGTTTTTCTTTGAGCACTTCTTTCAGTCTCCCTACGAAAGAACAGTTTTTTCTTTTCTTCTTCCTCCCTTTCCTCACACACACATTTTATATATATGTATAAATATATAAATATATACAGTGGCGACAAGAAGAAAGAAGAAAAAAAAAGAAAAAAAAAAAAAAACGTAATCAAGCCCGCCACGCCACGGTGTCCCCATCTCGACAGTCGTTCATTGCCCCCGCTTTTCTTTTTTTTTTTTTTTTACTTCACACACACATCACACATCACACGATTCAACGTTGTTGTTAACGCACGCCAAAAATAACAGCAAATTTTTTTTTTTTTTTTTTTAAGGGAAAGAAAAAACAACAAAAAACAATAATGAAAGTAATAATATAACGGTGATGGTGTAATAGTAGACACAGGAAATTCCATGTACCTCCGGTCAACCGCATAGGCCGTTGCACATCCATTTGTGTGGAGATCACATGAAACGGAGAGAGAGAGAGAGAGAGAGAGAGAAAGAGTAGTGGTGCTTCGGGAAAGAAAATCCGAACAAAAACAGACCCAACCCTTTCGGCTTTTCTCACGCTGACGGGGATTTTGGTTGCCATCAGCATGGCCGCCAAAAAAAAAAAAAAAAAAAAAAAAAAAAAAGAATACACCAGAAACACACACGCAATTCCTCATGTATGCATGTATGTATTTATCTGTTTTATGTACGTGTGTTTTCCGTGCTGTATTTTTTTTTTGCTTACATTTTTATTTTCATTTCTTTTCGTGTGATTCCTTTTATTTCTTTTTATTTTTGTATTTTATTTATATATATATTTCTTCCTTTTTCTTTTTTTTTTTTTTTTCCTTATCGGTCCGCGGTATCTTGCCGTTGTGAATTTTTTTAATTTTTTTATTTTTATTTTTATTTTTATTTTTATTTTTTTTTGTACGTTGTTTCCTTCCGTCTCCTGAGTGTACGTGTCCCCCCGGCACGACACCGCATTTGTTCCCCTGTCCATATAAGAAGCAAACAACATATATTTTTTATTTTTATTTTTTGTTTTGTTTTGTGTCATTTTTCTCCCACACCCTTCTTTTTATTCATTTTTAACGCAATCCGAGAGCGATCCTTCCCCCCCGCGCCTCCACACACACACACACACACACACACACGCACGCACACACACACAGAGACTGTACAGCCACATCCACCGTTGTGGGGCCACTCACGCAGAACTGAAGAAAATCAGCTGGAAAGTTGCTGATGCGGCGCCACGCTGGACTCCCGGGCGTGGTGTGGCAACAAAATATCGCAATTCTGTTCATTCATTTCCCCTTGACGGCTTTTCTCGTATTCAGCGAAGGAATTTCTGTCGTTTCCGGCTGTTTTGTGAACAATGCCATCAATTTTCCCCTCCAACTTCTTCGCATATGGAGCGTTCCTAATGATGGGCATGAGGGGGCGAACGGCAGACACAAGTGACTCCGCCTGAGCCGATGAACAAATGGTGAGGGCGGTTTGAAGCACATAATTACCAAAATCGTCTTGGATGAGACGAGAAACAACATCGGGGGAACACATGGTTTCCACGTACATCTCTTGGACAGGCTGCGATGCGCCACGTAACACCTTCTCTATCACGTTGGAGCTGAATTTATTCATGCAAAGTTGAACTAAATGTGGAAGAAATGCGATTGCAATCGTGTCAGTTGTTTTACTGTCATTGGACTCCAAAACGTATTGCAAGACATAATTTCCAAAAGGATCCTCCGCAATCTGCAAGCAGCAGCGCAGTATTTGATTTACTAGAGTTGCCCTTTGTGAACAAGACGCATACTCAAGACACCGCTGAAGTACACAACATCCCTGCTTATTTTTGGCAATGGAAATGCAGTCCGATCCCACCGCAGCGTAAATAAATTCCTTATCCGCGTGACTGAAGCGTTGCAGCACTTTTTGAATGACATGATTTCCATGGGCATCCTTAACCAATCGAACAACATCCTTTGACAAAGCCTCCCGCAGAATATCCATTTCTTCACGTGAGGCAATGGTTTCAACCATTTTCTGCACGCTGAATGTCCCATGCGGTGTGAGCGCAATGGATATAATTTTTGGGGCAGCAACACGTGCCACCTTGTAACGCACATCCTGAGGCATCATGTCAAAGAGCTTTTGAATAAGAAAATTGGCGTATTGATCTGTCATCAACTCCGCTACATGTGGGACAACTTCGTTCATAATGATACGGACAAATTCTCCATCTCCGTTTGACCCTCCTAATAGACGTTGAAGAAATCGACATCCATGTTGGTCCTTTGCTATCTCATACACAGAACCTCGCAACCCCTCCGGGGT